TGAGCTTAGACCGTGTGTTTAGTGGTGGCGGGATGTAGTGGTTGGCTAGATTACCGTGTGCGTTTCCGCTCAGTCCGTTTTCCACGGACGTTGGCTGGGGGAGTTTGGGTGAGACCGGTTGTTTACCGATCTCTTCGTTCACTTGGGATAGTCGTGGGCTTGGCGTCAACTGAGAGGTGTGGATGAGATGTGTAGTGGTGAATGGAGGAAGGAGGAATGTGGAAGTGTTTGGTTGGTGGCCTTGCCTTGCCTGCGTAGCTGCGAGCCAGTGTTTTGTGCGTTATCGATGTCAGGCTCTCCCGTAGAGATTTTGAGTAGATGTGTATCCGGCTATTCAGGGTTGGTGAGAAGGAGAGGAGGGGGGGGGGGGGAGGAGTAGAGTCAGCGTTTTTCTTTTTCTTCTTTCAGCCGCGAGTAGTGATTGAGATCGGTGTTCTTATGACCTCCTATCCACCTTGTGTGACGGGGCTGAGGCAATGAGGCTGGGAGAGAGAGGGAGAGAGTGAGAGCACACACACACACTCACTCAGCTCGACGCAGACTCGACACGACTCGACGGATGCAGACACGAAGTGGCAAAGTCGCAAAGTCGAAGTCTTGGATTTCCGAACACCATGTCAAAGCAAGTCACACTGAGTACGAGTACAGCAGGAAACTGGTACGAGACTGGCCCCCGTACCGTATGGGGAGCTGGTATAAGTACCGGTGACACGTACGGTACCAGGGGCATTTCTGCAAAGGCCCCAAGGGCAGAACTGAAAAATGCGGTATTTGAAAGTGGCGCCCAAATTGCAGCATGGCGCCAGTTGTCCAAAATCCTACGGTACCAAAGGAGGGGTTTGGAAAAAGGGTGCCAGGCCGAAAACGGGATGCAACCGAAACAGCAAAAAGATAGACCAGGGATCGAGCCCTGGCGGAGTCCGTAACACTATCCCCTCCCTCTAGAAGGCAACGTCCTGGCTGCCAAAAATCATGAATTGGCTGAAATCTGTGAAGGACGGGACGGGGCCGTTCTCTGGTTAACAAGTCGAAAGGGAAGAGGGGTATAATGTGGGTGGCATGGGCTGCAGGAGTAAGAGGGAACAGGGTTTGGTACTGGTGAACAGAGTTGTCCTACTGATGAACGAGGGGGGGGTGCAGGGAACAGGGTAGTCCTACAAATGAACTAGAGGGACGGCAGGGAGCAGGGTAGTCCCACTGATGAACTAAGGGGACTGCATGGTTTGCTATAGGTTAAGGGGGAACAGAGTTCAGGGAACAGGGAACTTCTATTGATGTTCTACTGGGTAAGGGAAACGGTGTTCAGGAAAACAGGGTATTTCTATTGATGTTCTAATGGGTAAGGGAAACAATGGTCAGGGACCAGGGGATGTCTATTGATGTTCTAGTAGGTACGGGGAACAATGGTTAGGGAAACAGGGATCTGCTAATGATGTTCTACAGGGGTGTCAAAGTTAGGAAAAATAAAAATGGAAATGTTTGTTCAGGATGCAAGGGCTGGTGTGTCCGAAGGAGTTGGAAGCAGAATCTCATGTAGGAACAAAGTGTCCAGGTGTCTTGAAAGGGGGTCGACAACGGTCTTGATCAGGTCTTTGGAGTAGGTGGCAGAAGCGGTCTTCAGCGACTGCGATAGGTAGAAGTCCAAGAAGCGTAGTAGTAGTTCAAGTGTCAAAGTCCAAGTGCTAGGGTGCGTCCGGTACACGAACTGCAATGAGGTCTGATCTGGAAGCAAGGAAGTCGCAAACTGATGCAAAGATCCATGTCACAAGTTGCTGCTCCAATAAGTCCTACGAGTCGGGATGCCGGCCGATGAAACAGCATGGTGGCCAAACCAGCTGCATAATCTCCATGAACAGTGAGGCAGAAGGCCATCGTCCTCGTGAGCTTGCCATTAGATCCTTTATCATCGGCGTCACGCAAGTTCACAAGCATTGGACAAGAGAGACAAGGTAGTGGAGAGGACAGATGGGACAAGGTTAGGCGAGGGCAAGGGCAGATCAGACATCAGGAATGATGGTCAAGGGGAGGGTGGACTGGGTTTCAAGGGTGTGTGTAGAGCAGGGTTGCAAGGCTTTAGCGGGCGTTTATGCCATAGTTCTATAGGTATCTAGGACATAGCATTAGCACGATCATAGGCGCGGACAAGTTTCATGGCGTTCTTAAGATTCGAGAGAGGTTCCCATGTAGATTCTTCGTCGGGGTATCCGGTCCATTTGACTTTGTATTTTGTGATTGGTTCCGGATGATCAGATACCTGAGTGGTTCGTCGGCCGATGATGGTTTCGACAACGAATTCAGGGCCTGTGGGTAGCATGATTGGGGGAGGTCTAGGATATGGGCGGTCGGCGAACTGGAGCGGGGATTCATGGTATTCTTTTAGGTACTCGACATGGAAGACTGGGTGGACACAACTCATGTCAGGGGAAGTTGGAGTTTGTAGTTGACGGGGGAGGTTTGTTCAATGATGGGGAAGGGGTCGAGGCATTTGTTGGAGAGTTTCTTGGACAAGCTGTGTTCGGGTTCAAAGTGTTTGGCGAAGAGCCAGACTTTGTCCCCTACTTTGAATGACACGTCGCGTTTATGTTTGTTAGTCTTGTTGGCTTGTAGGTCTTGTGTTCTTTCAATGGCTTCGGCTGCTTCTCTGAGGAGTCTGTTCATTGTTGCTATCCATTCATTGAGAGAGGGGCAGGGGGTAGATGGGTTAAGCTGCGAAAGGAGCAAGAAGTCAGAGGGCAAGCGAGGGTGGTAGCCCAGGTCGAGGTAGAATGGGGACATGTCGGTGGAAGGGCAGACGGCGTTGTTGTAGGCAATCTCGGCAGCCGTGAGCAACTGATCCCAATCGTGTTGGTGTGGATGACAATACTTCCGCAAGATTCTTTGGAGTGTATCGTTCATCTTCTCTGTTTGTCCATCCGTCTGTGGGTGGAATGCAGTGCTATACTTGAGCGTGGTTCCATAGGCCGCGAAGAGGTGTTTCCAGAATTGTGAGAGGAATCGAGGATCACGGTCACTGATGATGTTGTCGGGGAGGCCGTGATGGCGAGCAACATGGTCGAAGAAGAGTGTGGCGACGTCTTTGGCACTGTGCGAGGTCGTGCAAGGGACGAAGTGGGCACGTTTGGTCAAGCRRCAGACAATGACGTAGATGCAATCATGCCCGCGGTCGGTCTTGGGGAGGCTGCACACGAAGTCCATGGAGATGGACTGCCACCGGTGAGCTGGAATGGGCAATGATTGGAGCTTGCGGGGTTTGGCCCGGTTCGAAGGGTTGACAGTTTGACACGTGGGGCATGAGCAAATGTATGCCTTGACGTCGGCGAGTAGGGAAGGCCAGTAGAAGTAGCGGGAAATGGTGTCGAAGGTTTTCTGGAAACCGAGATGTCCTGCGTTCTTGGCGTCGTGGTGCTCGACCAAGAGTTGAGTACGGAGGCCTCGTGCGTCGGGGATGCAAAGTCGGCGAGTGCCTTTGGTATCGATGTAGAGGAGGTTGTTGTGGAGGGAGTAGTCGGGAACTGGGTCAAGATCGTGGAGCTTGTTGTAAATGGTGGTGAAGTCTGAGTAGGAGAGATAGCCTTGGATGTATCGATGATGAAGTGATGGAAGGAGTTGGATATGAGTCATGGCGGCGTAGACTTTCTCGAGGGGCTTGTGGTCGGGTCGTCGAGAGAGGGCATCCGCAACGCGGTTGCTTTTGTTGGGGGTATGGCAAATGGTGAATGTGAACTGGGCAAGGAAGTCTAGCGAGCGGGCTTGGCGTGGACTGATATCTTTCTTGGAGAGGATGGAGGAGACGATGGTGTTGTCAGTGCGGATGGTGAAGTATTGCCCGTCGAGGTACGGGCGCCAGACTGTGAGGGCGTGAATCACGACGAGGAGTTCCTTCTCGTTGGAGGGGTAATTCATCTCCGCAGGAAGGAGCTTCTTGCTTGTGAAGGCGATGGGGTATTCGCCAAGTGGACCCTCAGGGTGAGTGGGCGAGTCCTTGATGGAGGGGGTCTCAATGGTGTCGCGGGGGAAATGTTGGGACAGTACAGCTCCGATGGCGAAGTTGGAGGCGTCAGTGGTGACATAGAAATGGCGAGTGGGGTCGGCGATCTTGAGGACAGGGGCCGTGGTGATGSCTTGCTTGAGTAAGTCGAAAGCGTGTTGGTGGCGATCGTTCCAATGGAAGGGCTCGTCCTTGCGGGTGAGTTCGTGGAGAGGGTAAGAGATCTCGGAAAAGTTGCGAATGAACGGGCGGTAATAATTGGCAAGGCCGAGGAAGGAACGGAGTTGGAGGAGGGTCTTGGGTGGGGGGTACTTGACGAGGGCTATGACCTTTGAGGGGTCCATACGGATGCCTTCAGCGGAGACAATATGGCCGAGGTATTCGACGCTCGAAGAGGCAAACGTACATTTGTTGAGCTTGGTGTAGAATTTTTGCTCTCGGAGGATCGAGAGGACTTGGTGGAGGTGCTGAAGGTGGGACTTGAAAGTGGGGCTGAAGATAAGGATGTCATCAAGGTAGACGAGACTTCGAGGAGGTTGAGGAAGATGTGGTTCATGGTAGATTGGAAGGTAGCGGGGGCATTGGTGAGTCCGAATGGCATCACGAGGAACTCGTAGTGCCCGAACCGAGAGCGGAAGGCGGTCTTGTGGGTTTCCTCCTCGCGGATACGGATCTGGTGGAAGCCACTGCGAAGGTCGATCTTGGTAAAGTACTTGGCTCCACAAAGACGATCAAGGAACTCGGAAATCTGAGGTAGGGGGTACTTGTTCTTGATCGTGATCCGGTTCAAGGCGCGGTAGTCTGTGCACATGCAGAGTTCCGAAGTTCCACCTTTCTTGACGAAAAGGCAGCTGGTTCCTAAGGGGGATGAACTTGGCTTAATGAACCCTTTTTCAAGGAGTTCACCGAGTTGCCGCTTCATTTCTTCGGCTTCGGGTACAGAGAGTTGGTGTGGAGGGTGGCAAGGAGGAGAATGTCCGGGTTCCAAATCGATGGTATGSGATACGCCTCGATCCGGAGGTAGTCCGGCGGGTAAGGACTCAAGAAAGATGTCCCTGAACTCGTCGAGGATTGAGGTGATGGCAGGGTTGGAGGGGGGGCTTGATCGGGTTTGTCCGTCGGGAGTAAGTCCTCGGGACGTTCGCGATCAAGGACAAGACAGTAGTAGGGGATGCGTATGGCAAAGGAAGTTGGGGTGGAATGCGTATGGCATGTAGCGGTCCAGCCACGGGGTTCCTAAGACGATGTCGCACATCAAGTGCATGACATGAAACGAGACCTGATTGCGGAGGGTTTCGACGGTCATGGTGGTCTCGGGAACCGTGTGGTCTACTACGACGACGATGTCTTTGTTCCCTAGGCGAATCGTGATCGGGGTGTCATAACTGGTAGAGGTAAGACCGACTTTGCCGACACACGCGTCAGTGATGAAGTTACGGGTGGCTCCAATGTCGAGGAGGGCTTGGAACTTAGTTGTAGACGCACCAAGGGTGGCGGCGATGAACTTGAGGTGGAAACAAGATGAGTTGGCGGTGGAGATGATGGTGTTGAGGCGGCGTTGTTCGTTGCCTAAGAGGACAAGCCGATCGTGTCGGGCTTGTTCCTCAACAACATCGGAGAAGGTGATAGTGGATGGGTTTGGAAGAAGGTAGAGGAGCATGAGGCAGTGGGAGGCGTTTGCGACGCCTGAGAGTCGTCCGGTGGAGGTGGCATCACCGGAGAGGGGGGAGGCAGACGAATTGTCGATGCCAGATGGGCCATCAGTGGGACGAAGGACGTCACCGATGGGTGGGCCGGCAGACGCGATGTTGATGCTGGGACAGTGTCCTGGGGACTGTGTTCATGATGAGGAGGGATCCGCGCTTGCCGAGGGCGGTGATATGGAGGTTGCGGGTCGAGTGGAGGCGGATTGGCGGGTGAATAGTGCGGCGGTGGGGCAATTGGTTTGTTGGTGCCCCAATTGGTGACAACGGAAGCAACCCCCTTTTGCTTGGAGGTAGGTGCGCTCCTCGGGGGTGAGTTTCTTGAGGCGGAAGGGTGGGGTAGATGAGGGTGGTCGGGAGCT